GCTTTTTTCTTTTTGCTTATGTGGTGCTGAGGAATTGAACCCAGGGCCTCATGCATGCAAGGCAAGTGCTCTACCACTGAGCCACCTTCCCAGCCCCCACACTGGCTTTCAATGTGTGATTTTCTTTTCTTTTCCTTCTTCCTTTCTTTGTCTTCCTTCCGTCTTCCCTCCCTTCCTCCCTCCCTTCCTGTCAGAATTAGTGCTTGAACTTGGACAGTGTGAGGTCTTGCTTAGCTTTTTAGTTCAATGCTGGGACTCTACCACTTGAACCATGCCACTACTTTCTGCTTTCTGTTGGTTTAGTTCAAGGTAAGAATCTCTTGGTTTTGTCTGTCAATGCTGGTTTTGAACCGTGATCCTCAGAGCTCAGCGTCTGGATTAGCTAGGATTACAGGTGTGAACTACCGGAGCCTGGCTTGGCTCTCAGTTTTGTTATTGAGTCCAAGATTCTAAGAGGAAGAAAGAACCAAATTTTGGTGAGAATTTGGTATCACCTACTATAAAATTCATTTTTGGCTGGGTATGGTGGGAGCTGGTAATCGTAGTACTGGCGGAGGGTGGGGGAGAGGTGGGCTGAGGCAGGAAGATCTTGAAATGTTTTTTTTTCTTGACTGTCATGGGGCTTGAACTCAGGGCCTGCACCCTGTCCCTGAGCTTTTTCTGCTCAAAGCTAGTGTTCTACCACTTTGAGCCACAGCTCCACTGGTTTTCTGGTAGTTAATTGGAGATAAGAGTCTCATGGACTTTCTTGCTCAGATTGGCTTCAAAACACAGTCCTGTAGACCTCAGCCTCCTGAGTAGCTATGATTATAGGCATGAGCCACCAGCTCAAGATCCCAGCAAGGATCTTGAGTTTAAGGCTCATTTGGGCTACATAGCAAGTTTCTACCTCACGAATCAACAAAGCAGTCTTCATACACATTACCTGAATTGTGAAATGGTAACCCCTCTGTACAACACCTTAATAATTACAATGAAATTATATTAAAAAAAGAATGGGGCTGGGAAGGTGGCTCAGTGGTAGAGTGCTTGCCTTGCATGCATGAAGCTCTGGGTTTGCTTCCTCATTACCACATATGCAGAAAAAGCCAGAAGTGGTGCTGTGAATCAAGTGGTAGAGTGCTAGCCTTGAGCTGAAGAGCTGAGGGACAGTGCCCAGGCCCAGAGTTCAGGCCCCACGACCAGCAAAAAAAAAAACAAAAAAACAAAAAACAAAAAAAACAAACTCTGTTGCTATTCTGGACATTTCAGATAAAAGTAATCATATACTATGGGGCCTTTGTACTCAGATTCTTTCACTTGGCATATTTTCAAGGTTAATCCATGTAGCCTGGACAAGTTGTTACTTCAAGTTAGTTTATCATTCTTTGTGTGTGTGTGTGTGCTGGGGAGGGAATCCAGGCAAGCAGTGTACTCTGAATCACTTTCCCAGAACTCCATTTACCCACCCATTTTGATGAAAAGCTGTTTATATATTTGAGCATTATGAATAATGCTGTTATAAATGTGCTTTTGCATGGAGACATGTTTTGATTTTGCCAGGTAGCGTATACCTGCAGTGGAAAGGTTGGGGCCTGTGACTCTCCTTTCTCTGCCTTCATGTAGGCACTGAGCTGAGATAACAGTTGAGTGGTCTCACCTGCCATACTGGAAAAACTCAGAGCTGACAGGCCAGTTGATTCCACCCACCTGGTACTTTACACGTCTAAGTTTAATGATCCAGTGATGAGGTGACAGTCAAAGTGACTAAATGGTGTCTCATGTGCAACTTTTCAGTTGTTTTTATTGGTCATGGGGCTTGAGTTCAGGGCCTGGGTGCTGGTCCTCAGCTCTTTTGCTCCAGGCTAGTGCTGTACCACCTTGAGCCACAGTTCCACTTTTTTTTGGTGGTTTATTGGAGATAAGAGCCTCATGAACTTTCCTTCCTGGGTTGGCTTTGAACCACCTCAGACCTCAGTCTCCTGGGTAGCTAGGATTACAGGAATGAACCACCAGTGCTTGGCTTTTCAGTTATTTTGTAGATAGGGTCTAGCATTCTCAAGTGGTACCAGCCTCCAAAAATCATCCTCCCAGCTGTGCCTCCCAAATAAACTATTGGGAATATAGTTGTGTATGTCCAGCTTGGTGGGGTCTTGCTTAGTGGGGTCAGCCTGGTCACCAACCATATTCCTCTCACTCTCTCTACCTAAGTGCCTGAGGTTAAAGTATACATTAGTATACCTGGTATCCTCATTGTCCTAGTTTCTAATATAAACATTAATACTGGTGCTTCTCAGCCGACTTTGCTTTCCTGGTCCCAATACAGGCACCCACAACCAAGAGGAATTGTTGGTCCTTAACTAGGCCTCCAACTCTTTGTTCAATGTTGGCAGCTGAGCTGATATGAATGTTCACTGTTGTTGGTAGGACTGTCATGGACTCCCAGAAACAAGGTGACAATTGAGTATTCTCACTAGAGCTCTCCGGCCTCTGTCCTGGATCACATCAAAAGGTGGGTCCCGCCCTTCCTCCTACCTAGTGTGTTGGGGGGCATCATGTAGGCATCCCTTTTCCACTTTCAGGTCCCCGTGCTTAGGAGCCCGCACCTCAGCAACACTACACCAGCAGGTGCCCAGCATGCAGCTCTGCTAGATCCTTTGTAGTTTGTGAAGTTGGTGTGTTCCTAAGGGCTTTGTTAGGGGGGAATCAGGACAGGCCCTTGGGTCTTTTTTTCTTTTCCTTGACAGTCCTGGGGCTTGAACTCAGAGCCTGGGTGCTGCCCGAGTCTGTTTGTGCTCAAGGCCAATGCTCTATCACTTGAGCCACAGCATCACTCTTGACTTTTTCTGAGTGATTTATTGGAGATAAGTCTCATGGACTTTCCTGCCCAGGCTGGCTTTGAATCACAATCCTGATTTCAGCCTCCACAGTAGTTAGGATCACAGGTCTGAACCACCAGCGCCCGGTGGGCCTTTGGTTTTCTTTTCTGATGGCTCAATGCCATCCCCAGGTGCAGATCTGAGGCTCTGAGGACATAGCACAGCCAAACAGGGTGTGAAAATGTAAAAATGCTTGTAAACCTCAGGGTCACAGCACCTCCACATGGTCTGCGGCAAGGAGGTAGGAGGAAGGGCATGGACATATTTTCAGGGGCTGCTGTGCTTGATTCTGTCATCTCTGGTCTTGGGCAAAGCCTAGTCTGCTCATGGAAGCCACTTGGCAGCCACATTGCCAAGTTCAAATAAAGAGAAAGACGACGCGTGCTGGCTAGCACAGTGGACCTAGTGACATTCACAAGGTGTACAGTGAGCAACTGTGGAAGGGGTACTGAGCACTGGTGACCGCCCTCACTTGCTGGGCTCCACCCCTGATGGTCTCACTTCTGGCCATTCCTGCTGGGTCCACCGATGTCCCTTGGAAAGTAGAGAGGGCTGAGCTGCGCTGGATGGAAGGCCCCATGGCCCAGCCCTCAGCCCTGACTGCAGGGGATGAGGGGTGACACAGAGCTGGGTGTGGTGGCACACGCCTTCCGTACTAGCTATGTGAGAGGCTGGGCCAGGACTGCTGGAATCCAGAATCGGGGGCCATACCGAGCAGTGCACACAACTACCAAGGGTGATGGGAGGGTAGGGGTGGGGAGACAGGGCTGAGTCTCTGGCCTCAAACACCTCCCATTTGCTAGGCACATGCTGCTCTACACCAGGACATTTTCTGGGCACTCTAAACATAAACATTCTGCCCTGATTGTTGTCTCCAGTTGGGGTGTCATGTGTAGAACACAGGCTGCGGGCACTGGGATCACAGGGGCGCCTCTCGCCCCCTTCCCAGTGCTCAGCTCGGGACAGCCCAATGCCAGGGCGGGGCCAGGCAGCAGGTGGAAACAAATTTATATTCACCTTATGCCTCAAGACATAACCTTACTTGGAAACAGGTGTGTGCAATTGTAGTTGAACTTAGATTATTATATGGGGTAAAGTGGACTCCATTCCTGCACAACAGGAAGGAGAGAGATCTTTTGAATGTGCAGAGAGAGGTTGGAGCCACACAGCTACAAGCCAACAAATGCTTGAGGTTCCCCAAAGCTCAAAGAGGTAAGGAGGCCTTGCTCTAGAGCCTACTTGGGGGTGCCAGCCTTGCTCCCACCTCCATTTTGCGTTGCTGACCTCAAGCGCCGCAAGATGCTGGGCTTGGGCTTCACAGTTCTGAGGTGCATGCAACTTTTTTTCTGGTCAATCATGGGGCTCGAACTCTGGGCCTGGGTGCTGTCCCTCAGCTCTTCAGCTCAAGGCGAGCTCTCTACCACTTGAGCCACAGTGTCACTTCCGGTTTTCTGGTGGTTCACTGGAGAGAAGAGTCTCATGGACTTTCCTGCTTGGGTTGCCTTTGAACCATAATCCTCAGATCTCAGCCTCCTGAGTAGCTAGGATTATAGGCGTGAGCCACCAGTGCCTGGCTATTCCACCTAACTACGTTCCTAATAGCTCTCAGCTGCTGCTCAGGCTGTAGAGCCTGGCATTGCTTTGACCTATGTCCCTCTTGAATGTGGGCTCTGAGGTCATTCAGCAAGCCCAGTCGTCTCCTGCCTGTCTTGGCGTGGTGGAGGGCAGCAGCCGGGGATGTGGGGTGGGGGAGGGGGAGGCTGACCAGTGTGCATGGACAGCAACAGTGTTGAGGTGTTCATGTGGAACATGAGCCAGACTGACCTCTGTCCTTGCTCAGCAAGCTGGTCTTGATGGACACCCATGGAGTGCAGCAGTGAGTGGCAGGGACAGGCTTGAGCCTTGGGTGGGGGCAAGCCCAAGCCAGTGGGGTGTAGCACCGTGGTGGGTGTCCAGTGAGGGGGAGCGGAGGGGCACAGGACGTGATGGGCCTGCCGCCCATGGTGTTGGGGGGTAAGGACAAGGGGACAGGCGGGCTGCTGAAGGATTTAATGGCGAGGGTTGAGGTAGGGGTCATAGCTACTGCTTCTGCGTTGTGTGCGGAAGGGAGGCTGCCCGCGGGTGGAGTGAGGGAGGCCGTGGAGTAGAGTTTGTGGGGAGCAGCTGTCTGGGGCTAAGACACCGTTAGGCAGCACGGCATCCCGTCCAGCTGCTCGCCAGGAATGTTGCGTGCACCGGGCAGCGTGGCTCCGCTGGTGCACTTGTGCGTTGTGAGGCACGTGCCAATGGGCACTGGGGAGTGCTTTGCCCCGGCCCCCGCCCCACAGTCCTCAGCTTAGGCTGCCGCTCTTCCTTCTGTGGGGGCCGGAATGAGGGGGGCCGGGGTGACTGGGAGGTAGGTGGCTCAGCTAGGGCTTGCGGGAGTCCCGCGCATCCCGGCGAGGCTCGCGCTTGGCTCTGGAGGAGTGCAGCGGGGCTTCCGTGGCAGCAGCAGCAGAGAGGGGCACAGTGGTGGCCGGAGCCCAGGGCAGGAATGTCAGGCTCAGGCCAGTGGTCCCAAAGTCTTCCCAGTGTGGGGTCAGTGGCAGGAAGGACAGACACAGTGTGGCTGAGGGGAGCGCAGGTGGGGTGGGGGTGGTGTCCAGGGCTCAGAGCTTGTGGGGGTTCACCCACTTGTAGGTACCCTCATAGTGGAAGCCTACTCTCTTCATCAGGTCGTCTGCCTCTGTGGGGCCGCGGCTGGAAGCAAGACAAGATAGGCAGAGGGAAGGAAACATGAGGGATCCTCGCTTGTGGGGGTCCCCCCTTCAATGCCCCCCCACCGCCTATCCTTCCCTTACCTCCCATACACATAGGGGATGGGCTGTGGCTTCTCGCTGTCAATCTTGTGCAGTAGGGGAGTGAAGATCCTCCAGGCCTCCCGGAGCTCGTCGCTGAGGGGACATGGGGTGGCTTGTGGGGAGCAGTGTTGTGCATAGCGGGGGAGGGGAGAGCACTCTCTTGCCTGCCCCCCCCCCAGATGTCTGGGGGAAGATCGCCAGGCACCCTCACCTGCGCACAAAGTGCATCTGGCTGCCACAGAAGACGTCCAGGATGAGGCGCTCATAGGCATCAGGGAGCTTGACGTTCTGCAGGGGGAAGGGCTCGCTGCCACCACGGGTATGCAACAGCCCCTCACTGCATGTGCAACAGCATGCATGCAACAGCCCCCCTCCCCAGCTCGCCCTCTCAGTGGGCACCTTGTATCTGTTGCCATAGGTCAGGTCCAGCTCCGACTCCTCGGGGTTGAAGAACATGCCGGGCTTCTTGGTCATCATCTTGGTATACACGGCCTCGTTGGGTTGCACGCGGATGACCAGCTCGTTGCGCTTGCACTGCTGGTGGAAGATGTCACCCGCCACGTCGTGGAACTGTAGCCTCACCTCTGCCTTGCGCTCATTCAGAGCTTTGCCGCAACGAAGGATGAAGGGCACCCCTGCAGGGGAGGAGTGGGCTGGCCTCAGGGCTTGGGTTTTGCACAGGCCCGGGCCATGTGCAAGTGCTTGAGTGGTGGTGTATGTGGTGTGTGTGGGGAGGGGGCATATAAAGCGGATGCACACCTACCATCCCACCGCTCATTCTCCACATAGAGAACGACCGCAGCGAAGGTGGCAGTGGTAGAGCCGAGAGGCACGGTGGGGTCATCGAGGTAGCCTTTGGCGGCTTCTCCTTCTGCGCTGGGATTCCCCACGTACTGGCCCAGGACCACGTTGTCAGCCTTCACCTCAGAGATGCACTTCAACACCTTGACCTGTGGGAAAGCCAGGGCAGGGGGGCAGAACAGGAGCCTGGGTGACAGGGCGGGTGCAGAGTGGGGGGCGTGGCTGGCAGCGCCTGCCCCCCTCCTACCTTCTCATCCCGGACGTCATCGGAATCGGTGGAAGCGGGCTTCTCCATGGCCACCAGACATAGCATCTGCAGCAGGTGGTTCTGCATCACGTCCCTGGTGGAGGAGAAGGCTGAGGCCGGCCAGGAGGATGGGGGCGGGGGGGGGGGCCTCACCTTTGCCTCCCTTCCCGCTAGCCACATGCCAGGAGGCCCAACATCCCGAAACAAGGCTTCTAGTGACAAGCTGGCAGGAGTGCTTCCACACCCCTCACACGGAGGACACCAGAGTGTGCCCAGAATGGGGGGGGGGGACGCGGGGCTGGGTGCATGCTCCTCTCTCACCTGATGATTCCAAATTCATCGAAGTAGCCCCCCCGGCCCTCAGTGCCAAAGGGCTCTTTGAAGGTGAGGATCACGCAGGCAATGTTGTCCCGGTTCCAGATAGGGCCAAAAATTCTGTTGGCAAATCTGTGTGGGGCACAGACAGAGGTGAGTGCGGGGGAGGTGGCTCCCCCTTGAGCCCCCCCCCCCAGCCCCACGTCGGGCGGGGGGGGCTCAGCCCCTACCTCAGCACCATGAGGTTCTGCACCATCTCCTTGCCCAGGTAGTGGTCGATGCGGTAGATCTGGTCCTCACGGAACAGGGACGAGATGTGGTTGGACAGCTGGTCAGAGCTCTGCAGGTCTCTCCCGAAGGGCTTTTCCACAATGATGCGGTTCCAACCTCTGTGGGGAGCCCCCAGCCAGTTCCTTCAAGCTCCTACTCCAGCAGCAGCACCCAAAGCATTGTGACCCCAACTCTCTCCCCCCTGGAGCATCAACATTGTCTCCTTGCCTTTCCAAAGAGGCCCTCACACCCATGGATACCTTCTGTCCTCCCAAGTCCTTCACTCAACCTGCTTGGGAAGGGAACCGCTCCAAGGCCTGCCTGTTTTGCATGCTACAATGGACTGCTACCTTTCTTTTCTTTTCTTTTTTTTTTTTTGTCAGTCGTGGGGCTTGAACTCTGGGCCTGGGCGCTGTCCCTCAGCTCTCCAGCTCAAGGCGAGCACTCTACCACTTGAGCTACAGCGCCACT